TTGGAGTTTTTTTTAAATCATTTAATGTCTATTCAGCTATCTAGCTATGACACATGACCGGTGCTATGTATACATGTTGGATGACGCTTTTGACGTTAGAGACGCTCAAACTCTGGATTTCATTTGCAAATACCACTATGAGGTATGTTCGCTTACACAAACAGTCGACCCTCCTCCGCAAGTACCCAAAAAAGGGAATTTCGAAATCTTTGGTTATCCAAGCATGCCTTCGTCATCCATGCATACCAGCGCCGCGAGAAATGTGGTTGTGTTTTACTGGATTTGAACCAGCGATCTACTGTCTCAAGTGGGATATGTGTCCAAGCTATCCAGACTTTACTTGGCAGACCGGCCAAGACGATGTACCACCGCACCATCCAGCCATGGAGGTGTTTATAGTGTCGCATGCACTCTCGCAACCGAAGCCTTGGCACACACAAAGCTCAATTTGTAAAAACTCCTTGCCAAACTTCAAAATTCCACGCCCGTCGAGACTGTCTTCATCACTCGCATCATCTTGTTAACTTGTCTTGAATCCTCTCACGCCAATCCCAACGAACTGTCTCCCAGATTTGTGCGCTACGCTTTATGTCCTCCATCGGGTGTAAATATCGGCGTGGGCGTGTATCTGGCGACCAGCTGAGGCCAGAGAAAGTCGATAGGAGGTGTGGTCATTGGAATGAGGATGTACTAGGTCGTTCTTGTGGACTTGATGAGGCTTAGGTAGGAATCGATCTCTCTGGGAGTAAAAATTGATGTGGTGGAGTAATTCGAATTTTTGCCTTGTGGGCCAACTTCTTTGATATTGCGAAATTTGACTAAACTTGGCTCTGGGAGAATATTTCGCTCTCAGGTTCGTAGAGGATACCGCGTACAGGTGTTCAGCCTTTCCCTCCCCCTACTAGAGCTTGAGCACGGGTGGGGCCGGGCCGGATCAGGTTAACTATCGTAAATTACATCTACCTTGTCCCAACTGAATGACCGGACCACCTCAAACTTCACCCATGTGTTCAATCATGTCAAGCCCAACCGTCCAGAGAACCCTTTTTGACGCGTCGAAGCGCAAATTTCTCCTCAGCCTCGGTCACCACGCGCCCGAGCCCTTGACACCTTCGCCATCTGTAACTTTTCCCTACGCTTCATTCCCAGCTTTGGCTCATTTCAACATCTCCTCATCTCATCCAGGGGTCGTTTTCTTCATTGGAGGCTTCATCCAATCGCCCACCAAGGCCTCCTCAGTTTATATTCCCTTTTTTTCCTTCATGTAGCATCCCTTTGTACTTTAGCCAGCCTCATCATCCCAGAAACTTTGTAGAATGTCCACCCCTCCGGCTTTACCCCGTCACTGCCGTACCCCTAACCGTGGAGGTTGAAAATGTGACTGAGAGCTCAAGACCGAGGCACTGGTGTCCCAGCCTTTGCCGAATGCTCTATTTGGTGTGCCGGCGAATTTTCGTACGTATTTCGTCAGTTGCGATTCGTCGAAGGTCGATATGTTGTTACCCTTAGACGGGGCGAGGACGCATTTAAGGCCGGTATTTAGACCGTACCTTCACAGCGACTGGCAGTTGCGGAGGGTCGGACATCATCTTGTTTCTTTGTTGGCGATTTGAATTTTGGAGATATCGGATTGCTTCGGTAGGTGATGAGGTGATTGTGCAGAGAGCCGAGAGATGAGTTTGGCTGGAAATGATTTTTCAGAGAAAAAAATTTAGATCTCGAATGTGTTGGTTGTTTTAATACGAACATCAGACAGGTTATAGCCTGTCTGCGGTTTGTATCTTGGGTATAGATGGTTGATTTTATTGAGTAGTGTAGTCGTGAAATCTCTGCAAGTCGGAATTTCGACCAGAAATGAGCCAACACCACTCCTCCCGATCGCCAGCTCAACGAAAACTGTCAAATTCACCCTTTGTCGTGGCTAAATCTCGGCTCTGGGAGAATATTTCACTCCCAAGTCCGTAGATGACACTAGTGACAGGTGTTCAGCCTTCGTCCTCCCGGTCGATGAGGTAGTTGTTAGGTTTTGAATTTTTGTGGTATTTAACCTGACCCGGCTTCAGCTCAGGCTGATTCTTCATCTCCCAGCGGTGCCACTATAAGCAGGCAGTATGCTCTGCATATCTAAGATGACCAAGAAAAATTGCATTTGGATGAGTGAGTGAGTGAGTGTTTACTATCTTAGCAAGTCTGTAATTATGTAAGGATATATAGGTCCTTTCTGCCTACAGGCCAGGAGTATCTATGCCTCGGGTTGTGTACTCCCTCCTATGCCTCCTTCACGACTTCTTTCCAGCAGTAATACCCCCACAGGTCTTCATTCGAGTACACACCAAGAGGAGCTATTATCCCGTCATTATCTCCCCTCTCCAGCCACTTAAACGATGGTCGTTTACGTGTATGTAGCTGCAGGGAAAAGTCTCAAAAACCATTGGGTGCGGGGCTCTCCAATGACGAAGAGGCTGGCCAGCCGGGCGCAGTAGACCTGTGTACACCTAAGAGCGTCTCTCAACCTTCCTAGGCTCCTCCTTACTCCTCCCTTGATTTATGCCGCAGGACAAACCGAAGGTCATGAAAGGATGTCAGAAAAGTCTTGGTCGAGAATGACGGCCATGGAGGAGCCTAGCATCCAAAAATCGTCACGGACGTGGGGTTGTCGGGTAACTCATGTATTTTAGATTCCCTTCTGGCTAGTAGATTCGGAGGTATAGATTAGTAGAGACGATGTTTTTGACGAGTCGAAACCTGCTTTGCTTTCGTGGGATTTTTGTTCGCCAACCGGTGGGTAGCACATGTTGTGATATAACGAGGGCTTCTCTGACTACTATTGTAGCGTTTGGTACCGCATTATCTTTCCTCATTCCCAGCATCATTATCATCGTCTTGGTCGTCTTGTGAGTTATCGGAAGTGTATCTTTGACGGATGGGGAGATAACTCAGCTCAAAGTCGAAAATGTGTTACTCAATCTCGGCTCTGCAGACTCTACAGTGAGAGCTGGAGGTTCGTAGGGGACACCACTGACAGGTGTTGATAATAGTCCCCCAATTTGCGAGTTAAATTGTGGACGCGACGACGCGGCTACCACCTGCAAGTCATCCTAGCCAAACTTGACCCGAACTAGTATATGAAAATTTATTCGTGACGGGCACAAGCCATGTACTCAAAGAACATGACACGGAGAAGACTAGCTTCTCCGGCGACTATATACGACGATAACTCTGTTTGACATTTGGACTACTCATGTAGTGGTTGCATTCGCTGATACCCCTCGAGACCTTGGTGCTAGGGACTTTCACCCTTCCCTCAACCGTTAATATCCACCAAAGGGAAAACATGAAAAACCTTTGGCTACCCTAACATGCCTTTGCCATCTTGTATATAGCCGCCGCGCGAGATATGGCCTCACAGTCCTCCCTTTCTCGAGTGAGGTAGGTGTCCAGGCTACCTAGACTTTAATTCGGGGAGATGACGACCAGGAGGTGGGCAAAAACACCTTCCATCGTTGCCTATTTTAAGAGTGTTGGTTGCACTCTCCGAAATCGTTGCTTCTGCACACACAGATAATCTTAAGTCGAAGACACTCGAAAAATGTGCGTCCCAGCATACCCATTTGTGACCTCTTCACTCGTTCGTCCCACGTCCCAGCTGCCTGTCCTCCCTCAAGATGTGAAGCCCATTAGAGCAACGATCCCCCATAAACCAAGACCCGAACTTTGTAGATTATGACTTGAATTCCTCATCGCAGGAATACATAGCATCGTAAGTGTGTAGTGGGAGATGGCCGGTTTTTGATGAGGCAAATGTCCGATTGCAATTGGAGTGACGCCATTATCAGTATTCGAGAAGATATGGTGTGGTAAGACTGAGGTAGAGGACTCGCGTGAGAATAATAGGTCGGACATTGACGAGAAGTCGTCGATTTTAGATGTGCTTGCGAGTGCTTTCGCCTTCGATTTAGATGCGATTCTTCTTGGCTATCCCAGATATGCAGAGCATACTGACCGATTACACCGGCACCACTGGAAGGTGAAGAATTTATCTATGCCGGCACTCGAACTAGTATAGGTATTACATAAAAATATTAGAGTGACGCTAGACCAAAACATGCGGAGATGCGGTGACCTATTCTTAGGATGGTAGGAAATAAGGGAGCGAAGACTCGTTGGGAACAAATAAGAGCCTTCTCACACACATCTTTGCACTCCACTTCAAGATTTTCTATTTGTCTAGCTCTGAGTACATTTTGAAAAAAAAAGCTACTTCTAGACTGTTACAGGTTTCGAAGAATTAGCCAGGAGAACTTGTGTTTTCAATGAGTCTACGGCATTTCCTAGTGCCTTAGACGACACAATAAAGTTCAGCTAAACTACTACACATCAAACTCACATTGTCAAGCCTCCTTTGAAATTCCGACACTATGATTAGGAGCTAGTTGAAAGGAGGCTAATAAGGTAAATAGTGAATTTCTTAGGTATAGATGAGTCTGCAGCACTCAGCTTGCCGGCCCCTTCGAAAAGTTTAGAGAGTTACATATGTCTCCGAATTTAGTCCTAATATCAGTACTAGAAGAGCTCCACACGCAGTGGATTTCTTGACTTTCTCTGGCTTTAACACACCGGCAAATGGCTATCGTTTCGTTGGCTGTAGAGGGGAGATAATGAAGGGCAAAGGGCTCCTCCAAGTGTATGATCGAATGAGGACTTGTGGGAGATTATACTGATTAACTGAAGCTGTATGGGAGGTATAGCTATCCATGTCCTGCAGGTAGAGAGGACCTGCATGCTCTACATAGTCTTAGATTGAGAGAGAGATCCAACACAATAGAAAACCCCTGATTCGGCCAGGCCCCACTCGTGCTGAAATTCCACTAAAGCGGATGGGTGGGAATAAATTTAAAGCCAATTGACAAACAATATACAACGCCAATCTTAAGACAAATTTTCTGGCCTTTCTACAGAAATTTTATCCCGCGTGACAACTACTGTACTTACACCAAGGTATGGGTAAAAAATGGGACAAGAAAAGGTCTAAGCCGACAAAGACTCCATCCAATCCCGAATGCAGGGTTTATCGCGAGCAACACATACTGCCGACAATAATAAAACTCCAGAGTTCTGATCAAGAGACTAAATCTACAGCAGTAGCCTCAATTTGTAAACTAATTTTAGATACCAAGAGTCGCAAACTCCTCCTTCGGGAGAAGTTAGTCACGCTAATATGTGAGGAATTCCTCACCGATCCGAATTTAAACAATAAGGCAGACGGATGGGGTATTTTGCAAGGCCTTGCGCAAGAAGATGATCCAGGCTTCTGTGTTCATTTGTTCCGACAAGGCATACTGTCAGCCATAGAAACGGAATTAAATTCTGTATGTATCGGGCTCAAATGATAACTTTGTTGTTCTCACAATCTATAGTTAAGCCAAACCAATGAGGACTCCAGTCCCGTTGCCGCTCCTCAGAAAGAAAATTGTTGGAGGATAATCCTCTCGATTACAGGTCTTTTGGCGTTATTATCTAACTCTCGCCGCGAAATTGCCGAAGCCATTGCGCAGTATGCAGTTTTCACCCAATTTCTGTTCACAAACATTTGTTCCCAAACTTCAGATGAATCTCATGAAGAGGTAAAGTATCAAGCGCTCACTTGTCTTATGTATTTGACCAAAAATAACTCAGCTCTATCACAAAAAATCTTCGAAAAAGATGCTTGGTTCCAAGCACTTACTGCTATCGAACACTCTGCTCAGCCACTAGCTCTCTTAGCCAGTGGAATTCTTCATAATATCTTCACCTCTTTTAACCTATCGAGATCTCTTACGGTGCCTGAAGGTGCTAATGATGCTAGTCTTATCCCAGTATTAGTACTATTCATGGAGAAGTCTACCAACGTGCCCACCAATAGATATCAGTTTTCTAGTCCTGATCAAGTTATTCAGCTTGCATTAGAGATCACTGGATCAATTGCAGCCAGAATTCAGCAAACTACTGACCGTGAAATAAAACAATCAAAAAAACGCCCATGCCCCATCGATGAGGATGCGGAATCAGAAGGAACTGATCTTTCTGAAGAGTCAGATATTGATGAGATTCATGCAGATATGAAAATGATCATAGAAGATGCATCCAATACGGACCATAAGTCGATAAGCATACCGGAGCGCATACTTGAAAGCTTAGTTCGTGTAGCGGCTCCAAAAGTGCTGCAAGTTATTTTGTCTGCCGGGAGAGATGTGACTCCGACAACGAAATATGCTCTCTCCACGTTAAATCATATCGCTCTGGCGGTCTCAACAACTAAAATCTTCTCTAACAATATAATAGAGTTACGAAAGTCTTGGGATGTCATGGCTCAAGAGATATGGACTGATCTCATCAGTCCTGCCATACAATCTGACACTACCGATATTGTGTATGCTTCGAAAGTCGTTGATCTGGCCTTGTCACTACTCCACAGCGCAAGAAAAACTATTCAGATTGAGTATGGGGACGAGCAGAAATTTATAAAGCTGTGTGAAGCATCAAGTGACCGTAGGCTATCTAATATTACGAACGGGCAGAAACCCGAGAAAGAAGAAGATGAGCTTCTAGACCTCGGCGTTAAGTGTATCGGCGTTCTAGGAAGCTTAGCCCGCAAGCCGGCCTCAGTTGAGCTGAATTCCGAAATAGCTTCTTACTTGATCAAGCTGCTTATCCCGCTTCGTCCCGAGCTAAGGGCTGAGACAGTGGAGACTTTACACCAAATTTTCGAGATCTACGCGGATAATACTTATTGCGATGATGGGGCTTCTTTCTGGTCTGATGAGGTTTTCGATGCGCTCGATAAAATGCAGGGTCAACTCAAGCATATCACTAAGGCCATTGACCCGCGTAAATTTCCTACCCTTCGGCAACGTGCAAGACAGGCTCAACTGAAACTTTCACCATTTCTCAAAGCTAAACTGAAGGAAAGAGCCTCTAATCCTAAAGTATAGTCTTGATGGAAGCTTCCTAGTGACCTTATGAGACGAAGGCGATAGTAATCAAGAAGCAGTCACTTTCCGTCTGCAGTTCAAGCTTGCATAGGGGTATGTGCTGCCGATCCAGGGCCCTGTCTTTCTTGGCAAGGAAACAGTTTAGTTTTCGGGGATATCTAGGTAATCTATTTACTAATCATGTTAGAAGGTGATGTACCAAAAGTCCAAGGTGTTGCACGGCGTTCAAATAGGATTTTGTAGAGGTTGTGGAGTTAGGAGTATTTACGTAGTCTAGTAGCTAGGTCTAAAGATAATACACACATGCAAATTGGATAACATTAGCTGACAGGTATTATCTACTCATCTCTGCAACCTTGAAGCCGGCTATTGATGGGTTCAGCTGGCCGTGGCTACCAAGCTGGCTCCAAGAGTGATAGCGATCATGAGTTGTGCAAGCCGACTATGAGCTACGAAAATGGTCGTGCGCCCGGGCAGATCCTGTCAGCCTGGCTAGCTGCGGCCCTTTCGACTTGGCCGAGCATTCTTGGCCTTCTTGCGTTCAGCCAACTTGCGCTCACGGTGTATTTGATCTGGTGTACGTGTCTCTCCCTTGCCTGCGCCATCCTTCCACTTCCCCACCCTCTTCTCTTGGGCTTCGGCCACCCGCTTCTTGCGCACATGGTAGTCGTCCCGATAACGATCGGCTTCTTTTGGCGCCTTTTCTTGGCGATGCCGGTAGCGCGCGCCGGTACCATGCCCACGACCTGTATTGAGGGTTGAAGGTTTTTCAGCCTCACCTGTCCGCGATGGACGATCGAGTCTATTGGCTTTACGCCAGCGATCAAAGCGGCCACTCTGGAAGCTGGCCGCAATTTTTTGGCCACTCTCCCCTCGAACCATCTTGGCTCCTTTCGAACCATCCTCATCGTTGGCACGCATGACATACTTGCTGTTCTTTTTGTCCCATCGCATTCCTTTGGTCCGAGACGGCTCCGCAAAGGATTTACCACCATCATCGTTGTTCAAGTCCATAACGACATTTCTTGCAGCCTCCATAAAATTGTTGTCTTGCCCTGAGTGCACTCCGTAACCTCGTTCTTCTGCTACGTTGACAGTCTTCGGTGTGTATGACATAAAGTTCTCGGTATCTTTCCACAAAAGTGACCGCCCTTTGCCCTTTTGTCGAACTTTTGAAAATGTGATCTCGATTTCATCTTCCGAAGCATCATCCAATTCTAAGTCTTCGTCCCCGTTCACCTTGGTCCTCTGGGGGTTATCATCGTCACTAAACGTAGCTATATGATCCGTTGCTGCCAATTTTTTATCCTCCTCTTTATGCCTCCGTGGTATAATCTTTTTCCGTCTACATTTCATCATATCAGAGAATTCGCAATTTCCAGCCTTGCCCTTAGGACCAACTTCAAATATAGTTTCTTGTGGTCTAAAGCCGCTAATGCGGGCAAGCATGTCCGAACGGGCTTGTTCTAGACTGCTCTTCTCATTCAAGGTAAGAATATTTTGTTGTGACCAGCCTGGTGAATCGATAATTTCTTTGGCTCTCTTGACGCTTTCACTTGATGCTGAGTTTCTGGTTTTTATGTAGAGTTTCTCTCCTTTGACAGCAACAGATTTGAGTGCTGCCAAATCATCGCTTTCTCGAGTTATTTTGGTGACCCATTCAGTATCACCTTCTAGACCTTCTCTAGGTAGAGCACCAACGACAACATCTTCATTGTATTTTGGCGAAGAGTCACTGCATTCGCCAACTAGTAGTCTTCTACCGAGAAAAAGTTGTAGATCAAGGAGATATGGAACATCCGTATCTCGCACAAGACTAAAGCTCCATCCTCGTTGGCCAGCTCTTGCAGTACGACCTACTCGATGGACAAAAATTTTCGGTTGGGATGGAAAGTCGTAATTAACAACGTTTGCCAAAATAGGAATATCTATACCTCTAGCAGCTACATCTGTGACGACAAGTATATTAGTTACACCAGTCCGAAAGTCTTCAACCTGAGTATTCCTAGCAACCTGGTCCAAAGCTCCATAGGCATGAGAAACAGCGTAGCCAGCGAGGCGTAGCAGCGAGGCTAGGTAATCAACATGATGCTTAGTTGCCGCAAATATTATTGTCGAGTGCTCCGTAGGCTTTCTTCTCGATCCGCTTTCATCGCTCCTTTTTCGCTTCTTATTCTCTCCTTCAGTATTTACATGAACTTTTGGCTGACCAGTCGGCATCTTTATTAGACTACTCAGAATGTAGAGCAGCGCGCCCTCTTTCTCAGCACTTTTAACGAAAAAAAATGCGTTCTCAAGATCAGGAGAGACCTTACTTTCAGCATCAAGGCGAACGAGACTAGGCTCCTGAAGCCCGGCCCGGGCGAATTCAACGAGTGACTTGGGTAATGTAGCTGAGAAGAGAAGGGTTTGTCTTGAGCTAGGTAAGGCATATAATATTTCAGTGAGTTGTGTTGAAAATCCCATTTCGAACAAGCGATCAGCTTCATCAAATACCACATACTTCACCGAGGAAAGATCCAGGGACATCTCAACTTTAAGATGTAGAAAGCGACCGGGTGTCGCAATAATTATATCTGGATTTGTTGCCATTGATGCGAATTGTTCTTCCAGGCTGTCACCTCCAACTAGTAGAACACACTTTAGATCGGTTCCTTTTCCGAGTTCCTTGACTACTTTTAGAGTTTGAAGAGCGAGTTCTCGAGAGGGTGATAGAATTAGAGCCCTGGCACCGACCCGCGTACTGTGTGCCTTTAACTTGTGTATCATGGGAATAACAAAAGCTGCAGTCTTGCCTGAGCCTGTGCGAGCCATTCCAACGACATCTTGGTTTTCAAGAATAAGAGGGATCGACTTTCTTTGAATAGGTGTAGGAACTGAGAAGCCTTTTCTACTGATAGCCTTTAGAAGATGTAAACTAAGTCCTGCCGACTGTTAGTTTTATATTATAAAAATCAGCTAAAGAGCAAACCCATTGATTGAAAGCCTCCGCTCTTCTTGCTACTTTTGCTTTTTGCAAGAGAAATCTTTCTATTTGAAGCAGCTTGTTTTGCCGCAATGAACATGCCGTCCCCTTCGCCATCGCTGTCAATCCCAAGATCAAAGATATGGCTGGCATCGAGTGTTCCAATATTTTTAACGGCGGATTCCGCATCTCCCAAATCTGCACCAGATATTGCTAGTGCCTCAGTTATATCGTACTCATTTTCTGAAATAGCAGGAGATGAGCCACGAATAAACATAGTTGTGGATGGTGTGGTAGGGATAGAGATATATGCTCGCTACAATAATCTACATTTTTTCTTCCAATTGATCAAAGCGGTGTATAATTCTGCCACAGACACCTTTTTTATTTTTATCTTTTTATTGTCCTGTCTGAGTCTATGGTTATTTGGGACATATCAGGGGCTTGTGAACAGTGGAATCTGACATCCTAACAGTTGCGCAAAAATAACTGGCCTCACGTAACAAAATCAAGCTGCCCGAAAGCAGGAGAAAACAAAGACAAGCTGAAAACCACAAGGTATATGTCTAATAATGAAATTGAGTCTGCTGATAGATAGAAACGTAATATAGACAGAGAGGGGAAGAAAAAGGAGCGTCTCAACGGAAGTGTAAAGACTCACGCGCAATTCATCAAGGGGTAAGTCATGCTTGCCGTTGAGCACCGGCAGAATCTAAGACTAGAAATGCTGTAGATATCATAACCGACAGAAATATAGGTAGAAAATATATGAACTACAATTACAATAAAAATATCAGGCTTGGTCAATAGCTGCACTACGTTCCACAAAAGTTAATCCATCGTTTGTTTAATTGCTAACATTTCAATCGGCACATCTTATCAGTTCATCCGCTTTCTCATGCCGCGCTTCTGCATTCCGAGTTAGGTGTAAGGGAGACGGCTCAGATAGGTAATGTCACCGGGTAGGAGTTATAATATACAGGTAGCTCGAATAAGTAAATACTCTCCAACAGGTAATTAAGATACAAGAACGTCGTATGCCCAATCCCACCAGCAGTAAAGCGACTAGTTATACTCTAGGTAAAAGTAAAATGGAGCTTCCTCTCAACTCATACGACAGCTCAACGTTACATGAGATAAACCCTGAACTCAACCTATGTGGTAACCAACCCATTACTTGGCCCACCAACACATATGCTATACACTAATACTAGTATTTGGCAGGGGATGATGTTGATCCAGATGTATTCCCTGACATTAGGCAGCTGAATAGGTGGTTTTCCTGGCAGGAAAAATTTATGGCACCACATAGACAACCAACGGACAGCAGAATAGCCGCAATTACTGATGTAGATTCTCTTGCAATATATATAAGCTTCAACACAGAAAAGTTTTTAACAAGATGTCACTTTCCAGGTGCACTGGATCCCGGGCGACATGGAAACCGAAGGCAACAAAAAAGTAGACCAAGCTTCAATTGATGTATCAGAAAACGAACGGCAATTTAACGAGGAATCCTCATCTCTGGCACATATTGCCAGATCTGTGACCAAAGTAACATGGATATAATGCCGCTGACGGTTCAAAGCAAAACATAGGCGAGAAAATCAAGGATCCAGAAACACTTATAAACTGGATCTTGACAAAGGTTCATAGGATGTGGCTGTTTTAACTCCTGTAAAGCCCTATCTTGCCTGTATTTTCCATCAGAATAGAATCGCGCCATTAAAGCTGTATGCCACTATCGTACATAGAAACGAGATGACGATACGTGCGACTAGTACAGCCGGAGGGAGCAAAAATTAATCAGAAATCTAGCTTTAGACTACCGAAGATGGAGGAAAGAGAGAAATAAGATGTGTGGGCAGATGAGAGAAGACAAAGGCTCACCTAGTAATGGAAGGAATATAGCTCGAATTTTCACAAGAAAAAGGGCAACAGCTGGACTACCAGGGTTTTTGAGGGGAACAAAAGTAGTTGAGAGTCCCTGAATACAATGAAGACCCAGACAAGGCATAGCGTCTCGACGAAATCTTACGGATTGAAATAGACGATTAAAATAGAATGGGGATGTTTTTGAGAGCAGGAGTTTCTTGAGCAATATGTAAACATGCGCGGCAGGATGGAGGACTGCTCCTACGAGAGTCAAAGTCTAAATTTCTGGCTCACCTTGCGAGGTGGAAGGCAAGCGTAGGTGAAGCTATTGATGATAGTATGGCTCCAAAGGTGTATTCTATTTGATTGTTACAAGTTATTATTGTATCTATCTTCCATCAAAACTAAATGTAAGTGTAGAAAATGTAGCCCTGCTTATTAAATGGCCCCTTCAATTCCAAGGTTGATGAGTTAATCCTCAACAGATATTATACGTCAAAAGAGTGTAAAATAGATAGGTAAAACACCTTCGTGAATTAGGGATTTTTTTAGTTTTTCTCGTTAAAAACTGCCCGCAATGTCTGATTTTCATTTTGGGCAAGCTTGTGTCCAACCAAAACATCAGTGTGCGTGTATTTATTGCGCTTCTTGAGTTTATGACTATCTAACACATGGGGTTCCTCTTTAATCCAGGCCACACCTCTTACAGTGCCCCTATCCTCTTCTGTTCCTTGAAAGATCATTGATATATTGCCCCTCATGAATAGCCATTCAGCTCAGTATTACCCGTGCAATTCGGCCACCTTTTCCACAGAACCTTCTACTGAAAAATAAAAAAATAGTAGCATTGGAAACTGCGTGCGCGAGAAAAAGTCTCAAAAAACCTGCAGCCCCAGCCAGGCGAGGCCTAGACACCGGGACCACATGAGGTGCGCATATTCATCTATATCTCCCTTCTTTGTAACATTCGAGGCCGACTTGATCCAATCCACCATCGCCGTATCGGGTGCTGGGTACGCTCCAGAAACTCATCGGATGACTTTTCCTCCATGATCAAGGGTTGGTGATGAGTAGGGCTCCGACCCTACCATCTGATCTGATCGTGGTTAGCTTCATGGTAATGGTGATAGGGGAATGTATTGAGAGATGAAGACGATACAGAAGACGAGAGCGATTGGAAATCCTCATCGAAGTGAGGACATTATTACTCAATCTCGGCTCTGCAGACTCTACAGTGAGAGCTGGAGGTTCGCAGGGGACACCACTGACAGGTGTTGAGAATAGTCCCCCTCAAAGCTCTTGGAAAGCGTAATAGTAAGACCAGCCCTCACCTAAGAGTCCCCGATATGGGCTGCAACTGAACCAGCGGGTAAAATACCACAAAGAATAGCAAAACCATTGCGAAGTATCCAACTAAAATGCTTGAAGCTTGTCACAGGAGGATATAACTCTTCAGCAGTCGGGTATTAAATCAAGAAGGCTTAATCGTTCCACTAGACATCTACCTCAAAAAAGGAGAATTCAACTCATCAGACTATCAGAGGCACAGCCTGTCAAGCAGACAATTCTATCCGCATGTAATAAAATATCGCAGACTGATAGCCGGAGTGAAAATAGCTACACCAAGAATTGAAGTCGAGATACTACCGAGTGAACTAGAATCTGTAACAACGAATAGGCGAAGAATAGACAAAAAAAGCTGATAAGATAGCAGCTGTGGAGGGACTTCACATTTGTTGTTCACAATTATGGGTCCAAAAATGAATTAATATTTTATCTAAGGAGGAGAATTATTAAGACGCGCGCGCACGATGTTTTGTTCCAATCGAGCGCATTTTCCCGTGACAGTAGCGCACTTTTGTTCATAGACGGAGCCGGATAGTTCCGGATCCACATACAAGGCTACAGCGTATAACAGCAGCATCCTATGAGTAGTGAAGCACATGGAAACTTTATAAGAAAGAGCGACCATCTTCTTATTGAGCGTCGACAGACTCAGAACATCGGAAAGTAGCAAACATCAATACCGACAAGAGAACAGGTAGAAAAAAAATCACCTACACAAACACGCCATCTAACATCCACCGAAACCTGAGCAGGGACCAAAGCAATATTGCTATACAGATGAGAAGAGATTATATTGGCCTCGACTCGTATCTATTTAGAAGAAAGGTCCTTGTAGTGGCAAATCCAAAATTCCAATGTGGATATCCGTCACAAAACGTGAAACATATGGTTCTGGCTTGTCCTCAGTGGGCTAATGGAAGAGGAGAGGTGCTGCGATGGGCAAAAGATTGGCCTTTTAAAGCTGTGATGAACAGCCCCGATGATATGAAGAGAGTCATAGGGTAGAAACTTACTAACGGCTGGTTTGAACGGTTCTGGCTTGCAGAAGTAGTTGAGCGGCAGTCAGAGAAAGGATGGGGCGATCGGTAAAAAGATAGGAAAGTATTTACACTGGATGTACAGCGAAATGCACTTCCTGGAGAGAACCTAATAATTCCATATGCAAAAAATATATAGGATTAAGGGGTTTTCACCGGACTTATTTCCCCCTTTTTTAATATTGAAAATAGTCATTTGTATAGACTGATAGGTTGCTTGAACAGGTGAAATGAATTCAAACTCAAAAGCCTTTTCTACCCTTAAAATTTACATACTTCTGAATGACAAAATATCTACAGCTTAGACTGATTTATTATTAATCATCCCATTACTTTGAGCCAAGATACCGCCTATATTAATCTGCGTTTTTGTTACGTGAACGAGAACAAAAACATGCCTTCCACTTACGGTCGAGTGAAGAGGCCATGGCACTTTGTATGGTACCGGCCGGCTTTGTAGAGTTGGAGAAACTGTGAGCAGAAAACCCCAAGATGGGCAAAAACGATTATTGGAGAAAACAGGTGACAATGTTCTTCGCACTTCTTGACAGCAACTTAATGTTATGACCATGTGGTTGTTTTTAAGGGTAGAAGGGATCACCACTGATGTTCGCAAGAACAAAAATAAGTTAAAATTCCTTTATTTTATTTCTTTGTGGGTGGATGAGAGGCGGATAAAATGCAGGGCTTTATAGCTGCGAAATTCACTCGTTAATTCCGTTTGCTTTCCTCAAGCCCAAGAGGGGTTGCATATGTAAGTTTCGTGAGTTCTTAGGGACCACACACCCGTGCAATGCCCCTTGGGTGTAGGGCATAGGCTTGATACGAATCGCATCCAAATCGAATCGATTTGAGCCAAGATGTTTCCCGTAAGCTCCTACGTTTACATTATAACATAGTCTAGAAGTATGACCTGATAATTCATCATTTCAATGGCCACAACTCTGGTTGACTCAATATCTGGCCTCAGTTGGCCACAAAATAAGCGTCCACGACAATTTGAATATCCGCAGAAAACTCCAGATTTTGCGAGTCAAATCTTAAGGATAAATTCAAGATGTGTCAATACAAATAGATATTGTGATGCTCAAGATATATTTAATCTCATAAAGTGTGATCTGAAGGAACTAGGGAAGAGATTAATCACATCGAAGAGCAATGTGCGCTGCACGACTCGACGTTCGAGAATGCAAATGACGCTGTTGACTCAACTAGGGTTTGATAGTGCAGTGGAAAATGATCATAGCTGGTCTACTAAGGAAAATAAATAGGTTGGACACACATGATAACTGATCCAAATTCGGCTAAATACATTCAAATTTCTTGCAGCGCTGGTGAACTTGGTTGACGTAGATATGCTTTGATAACAGAAGTTTTAAAATGTCCCTTTGTCAGGTACTCACGGAGGAGGGTCGACTGCTTTGCGCAGGAATATTTACTCCATAGTGGTATTCGCGTATGAAATCCACAGTTTGAGTATCTCCAACGTCAAAAGAATCATCCAACTTGTACACAATTACTGCCAAATACACTACTACCACACACATGCAAATTTGCGAGAAGATTGCTCAACAGCGGAAAGAAAGTAGAATGCAGAATGCAGTATGCGAGGGCATTCTTTGAAATTTTAAGAAATGCCGATGCCCGTTGGTAATGCGGAAAATCGAACAGGAAGTTATATAGAAGACTTGGTGCTCTTATGGCCAAGTTCGGACACGAAATGTAGACGTAACACAACGGTAGTATGATAAGATTCTTAGAAGAGAAGATTTCATTATCGGGGTCAACAAATATGACTGGGGGTTGTGAGTGAGTCAAGGGCTCTTGTGCGTAATGGCTGAGTTTGAAGATACACGCCCTTGGCAAGAGGAGTGAGGTTTCTCGGTACAGTCTAACTTGGCATATTTGACGCATTAGTGACGTATAGCGTGACCCGGCGATTTATGTATGGAGAGGACCTTACTGTTAATAATAATTAACCTGATCTAGAGCGGCCTGACTCGTGTTGAGCACCAACAGCCTACCACAATAAATTACGAAACAAAAACGGACAAATGTGATCGGCATTAGGCTGGTGTCTCTAGAAAGTTAGACTGACGAGAAATCAACATGGAGGCAGCAACACATGAACACCAAGTCGTGGGCAACATCTCATCCGGGTGTGTTCATACTTTACACATTCCATGGTTCGGGATGAGTCTACGAGAGCTTTCCGTCTAGACTTAAGTCTGCAAGAACATGAAACCGTGAGCCTCACAACATTTGGCTGCATTTCCGATGATATTGGATACAAAAATATGTATATTGGATTGTTGAGCTAACATATAGTTCCGATACCTTTGTCTACCAGAATGAAACTGCGACTTGAATTTTCGATGGGATTTTCATTTGGGAACGAGACGGATAGATATCAGACGACCAAGGTATGGTTTATCATTACTTCAATCTTCAGAAGGATTGATTGAGTAATCAACGTTGTTTTACTTGCCTGGACTGATGAGACATAACATCGTGTTGCAGGTGCGATAGCCTTATCCCGTGGCCTGGAGTATGTGAGTTTGACACAAGATCAGCTAGTCACAAACCTAGTTGTGTCATTTACTTTGACCGAAGATGCCGCAAATCAGCGACCCTTATTCGTGCGCTTTTTGAGTCTTGACACTGCGATTGAAGCCCAGCATATCGGGAAGCTCGAGGTCGGACCATCAAGCTCTCTACCACAAAATTTGGAGGCGACAGCGGTCCGCGGAATGATCTCGAAGTACGGGAAAAGCCCTGGGCTGAAGACGGGGCGTTTGGCTAATCAAGGGGGACGAGAATGTCTGGTACAGCGAGTGCCATGCATCGCGGCAGCCGAGCTGCACTCATGCGAAGTCCGTGGGGAAATGGAGAGTCGGCTAGGCTAGTCACTAATACCTGCTATGTCTACGCTTACAAATAATGGCACAGTCATACGTGAGAAATTTGGTCTGTATCGCTTGCCCATTTCTCATTTCAAGGCAGCCAGATTTATCATGAGAGAGCAAACCGTAGTGCTTCTCAGCCCATAGCACGAAGATCATGCCTGACCTTGGCCTGCCTGCCCGCCCATAATGTGTTTGTTAGAGTGTCTTTGAGTAAGGTCGATCTTGTCTATCATGCAGATATATGGGGCAAAGGCACTCCATTTTCCATAACGTCTATGCACTCAACGGCTGCACAAAATACCATCGGAGTGGAGCATGTTTCTGAAGCAACTGTGAAAGTCAATGGTTTGATAGTGATGCGGCTACGACTTTACCACAATCAGTTACCTTCGCGGATCTAGTGGTGCATTTGTCGCGCATAGAGATTTTTCGCTTGCCAGACAGTTAGGTCACGTGTTCATGAGCGTCATCAGTTCGACGTATTCCATGAAGACCTATGTGGACCGGAATTTCGCGATGTCGGGCAACTTATTGCCGCCAGCTCAGTGTTTGTGTCAAGTTGATCGTCGAAGCACGATAGCTTCAATTGATTTTTCCATGATACGCCTCTTCTAACCGCCTCCCCGGCTAGGAGGTGGTAGTAGTTTCAGATGAGCCTGGCGAGGCGCGTTAATGTTTGAAGCCACTCGGGTGCCTTCAGCATCTCGTATTCTTAGTCCATCGCTCACATTATTCGGTAGCCTTAATCCGGAGTCAGCTTTACGTGCAAATTTTTATCCCAAGGCTAGGAGTTTCTACGTAATGCTGAGATTATGTTCCATCCGTCTCAACATAAGACATCATCAGTCTAGGATTTAATAGCCTAGTGACTCACACTATCGTACAGATACCGCATAGAAACATGGAAACTTATTTTCCGCATGTCAAACAACTTCGAGAGTCATAGTCTAGAGTCTAGATTAGACGACTTAAAGGATAAAGGGTCGAAGAGTTCTTCGAGAAAGATTGACATAATTCGGACTTACAACACTGCTGCCGTTTACTTTACTCTTCATTTATATTAATAATGTATTCTTTTCAAAGGTCAGGCTCCACCGCCAAAATTGATCCGCAGTATGAGCCCTTCATCAGGCATTCAGACGTCGATACACTTCCGTCCATCGAAGAATACCCACACGAGATTAATAGAACACCTAAGCTACTAGCTAGTGTGTTTGGTATTATTGCAATAACATCGACCTTTTGGATCATGGTCATCGTCACTATCAATCATCCTTTTGGAACCAAACACGCACCCGGCAGCTGGGACCGCCACAACATCACATCTAATGCACGACTCCTGGAATGTGGCAATTCCACCATGGAAGCCAAAGCCCTCGGCTGCCAATATGATGTCTTACTTAATAGCTGGGTACCAGAGCCGTGTCTGGAGAGGGATTTCATTGATGAGTATCTGGACGATGACAGCTGGACTGCTTATCGCGATGAGGCCATGACCCAGCCAATCCCGACCATTGAGGAAATGTCAGAGATCGAACTCTACTACACCTCACTGAGAGATCACATGAATCATTGCGCTATGATGTGGAAAAGACAGTTTTGGGTGCTCTATAAGGAAAAACCTGCCATTGATACTATGAGTGCCAGCCCCCGCCATACCGACCATTGCGCTCTCTTCCTCGCCGACTCACGCGACGTTAATCTAACCCAATCAACCAAAGTCGACAGAAGTTTTGCGGGCTGTTGGATCAGGGATATTTGAGGGCGGGTCTCCTCAACACTACTGGATTCCGGCCATCTATTTCAATATGCTAGGCTAATATGAATTATCCTCAGGTGAGGAAGGAGGGGTGGGCTATGTCATACTGCTATCTATCCCATCAACTTGGGTGATGAGCAACTTGCTGGTTACGGCTTATGCGAATGAGCAAATATGTAAAATTATAATCTTCAACTAGTTAAGAAATGACACAAAGTAAATCCGCTTGTTATCATCCTTTTCTATCGTACTCGCGAGAAAAGAGCCCCAAACCTTTACGTTGCCATACTGAACTTGTTTGTGAAATCCAGCGCTACAAAAGAGTTTAGACCGTCTCATGCCTGCAGCCTTCTTGGGGTACGTTCGGGGACGCATTGTGATGGGGAGATTCCGGTACCCTCCACTTTGCCATAAAGCAAATCATCGCAACAGTTACCTGAGAACTTTCTAGAAGCTAGGGGGAGGATGACGAAACTGGGGCTAAATGGTTATTATATGGAGCTAATCGTGTAAGATATGTTCAGTTATTTATCTTCGACACGCCATCGGTACCTCATGTGATTGGGAAGCCTATGTTAGAGTTTTGAGACGTTTATGTTCTGGGATGTTTCCGTGGAGACTAGTGATGGGCGAATTTTTTTGACACGCAACCCCCCGATCCGTAGGTATCTACAATTGGGAATTTTGACGTCTTTAGCTACACCAGTCATACTCATGACATTCTGTTAGCGAGGACCAATGGTGATATGGTCGAGTCTGGCTGGGGTCGAATAAACAATCGCCTGTCTCAAGTGGGGTATTTGTCCGAGATATGCAGGATCTACTCGATAGATTGTCCCAGAGTATGTACCACTGCGCCATCTAACCAAGACGGTGTTGGAATGTCGTCTGCGAACTTGCGTATGAAATCATGTTGCGCACAATGTTCAATATGAAGCTCCTTTGCAACATTCTAATTCCATCTTTTCGCGATTATATCCATCCTTGATACAGTCTTGTCCACGTCTCTGAGCCTCCTCACGTTGGCCCAAAGACCTATCTCGCATATGTGTGCGCCGCGATTTGGCTCCTTCGACGAGCGTATACTTGCAGGCGAAATGAGGCCAAAGATAGAGTCGAGAGGGGGGCTCATTGAAACGAGGATGTGCCAGGTCGAAGTTGCGGGCTTAACGGGGCTCTGGTGTAAATTTGATGTAGTTGTGAGCTTTCAATCATTGCCTCACTGGCCAGCTTCCTCCGTACGGCGAAAATTGACTGAACTTGGCTTTGATTAAAAAAAAATCCGCACTCAGGTTCGTCAGCACCGCCGACACTTGCTCAAGCTCGGCTCTCCTCGGGCCTACATCGCCAGGGCATGCTTTAGGCCTCCGTTCAATCGACCACTCGTGGGGGACTATTCTCAACACCTGTCAGTGGTGTCCCCTACGAACCTCCAGCTCTCACTGTAGAGTCTGCAGAGCCGAGATTGAGTAACAAAGTCCTCACTTCGAAGAGGATTCCCAATCGCTTTCGCGGTCTGTATCGTCTTCATCTCTCAACACATTCCCCTATCACCATTATCATGAAGCTAACCACGATCAGATCAGATGGTAGGGTCGGAGCCCTACTCGTCACCAACCCTTGATCATGGAGGAAAAGCCATCCGATGAGTTTCCGGAGCGTACCCAGCACCCGATACGGAGATGGTGGATTGGATCAAGTCGGCCTCGACTGTTACAAAGAAGGGAGATATAGATGAATATGCGCACCTCATGTGGTCCCGGTGTCTAGGCCTCGCCTGGCTGGGGCTGCAGGTTTTTTGAGACTTTTTCCCGCGCACGCAGTTTCCATTGCTACCATTTTTTTTTTTTTTTTTTTGGGTAGAAGGTTCCGTGGAAAAGGTGGCAGAATTCCACGGGTAAATACTGAGCTGAATAGCTATTCATCAAGGGAAATATATCAATGATCTTTCAAGTAACAAAAGAGGATAGGAGCACTGTACAAGGTGTGGCCTGGGTCAGAGAGGAGCCCAATGTGCTAGATAGTCATAGACTCAAGTAGTACAATAAAACACACACACACACACACACACACACACAATTTTTTGAAATTCGAATTTTCGAATATTCACCCTTTCTCCCTCTTTCCCACCCCCTCGATATCGTGATATCGTTCGCGCTCAATTCAAAATTTGTGAGCGACTGGCAGGTTGTCAAAATGCCCCCAGTTCGCAGTAAACCATCGCGGGCGAAAAACATCGCTGAAAACCGCAATTACATCAAACACACCGTTCGAAGGAAACTACGTGACAAGCTGGGTACCCTGACTCCAGGTCAAGAAATGGAAATTGACCAGTTGGTCGACGACAGAGCTCTAGATGACACAATGTTAGATGTTAGCGATATTGACATTGATAAGATCCTCAGGGATCTGAAAAGACTTCCCGATTCTATTCACTCCAAGCCAGATGCGACCGGAGCTGAAAAGGCAACAATTTCTCAAAAAAAGCCAGCAACTGCGACTACACAGCAGCAGAAACTGCCTCTGATAAAAGTCGCCGTGCCATTGACAATGGCAGAGAAAACTGGCGACACCAGCAAGAACAACCTGAGTTGCTCTTCGATTGCCTCAGGTCCTATGGCAGCCTCAACAACTAGAGAAGCCCCTGAACCCAAACTGAAATCATCCAACGAAACTGACACTGCAGCTAGCGATGAATTCTGCCCCGAAGAGCTGAGAGCTGTAGTAGAAGCCGAAAAGCAAAGGGTCGCACAAAAGTCTGCTCAGATTCTGTTATGCACATCGGCCATAAGAGGCGTGGAGGCCGTACTCTCCCCGATGGCCACGGGCGACAATAAAGTATACGTCGAATCAATGAAGGCTTATTTGCGTGCAGCAATTGGCCATTTTATCAACTCGGGCCCGGAGTCTACACCACCATCTCTCCCCCAACGCCCCAACGCTGTATTCCCAAGGGTCCCATCTCCAAAGCCCACAGTAGAGAACAAGCCCACGGTGCGCGCCCAGGGAAACACATGGGCAGGAATTGCTAGATCAGGGCTGCAAAACGATGCAGGGAGAATCAACACAAAGATGGCAGCAGTCCCGCAGAACGTACAAAAAACGAGGCCGAAAGTAGAGGCGGACGATCGGCTTTTCATCCGCCTACAGGAAACACACGAGTGGAGACGTCTCTCCCCATCTGGTATACGCGAAGCCATAGCAATGCAGACCAAATGTGCGCCATCGGATGTGGAACACGTGCACCGTGTCCCCACAGGTTTTGCTATACGCGCCATAGACTCTGATGCAAAGAATCGGCTAATGGAAGCGTCAGATACACTGAATATACTGGGTGCAAAATTGGAGAAACCATCCGAAATAGTTGCCCTCCGCATTGCCACAGTTCCAACAGCAGTTTACACGCTAGACGGAAAAATACAGGTCAGCCCGGAAATGGTGGCCACGGAAATAATAAGAGTGACAAAATGTACCCCGACAAAAGTTCGAGTCCATGGCAAAGGAAAGCTCGGGGCCCCATACCAAGAGTGGCTCGCTCACTTTCCAAAAGGATCGTCGCCAAAGCCCGGCTTCAGGCTTTTTGACGACTCGGGTGTAGCAACAGTACACCGGCCACAAGCCCCTGTGCTGCAATGCAAACGCTGCCTCGGATTCCACCCCACCCGAGCTTGCTCTCGTGCGCCTGCCTGCTGGAATTGTGGATCCACGATGCACATCTCTGCCGAATGCAAGGCAGCTACTAAATGCAGGAACTGTGCAGGGCCGCACAGATCAGACAGCCGAAGATGCTTGGCTCGTCCTACAAAATCTGGTCCGCCCACAAAAGAACAGCTTGTGACCATTCGACAAGCTAGCCAGCGGGAGTACAGCGCCGTGGCCAGAGCAAAAGCGGCTGTAAATCTAGCAAACAAAGCATCAGCCAGTGCCATCAAGAGCCAAGAGATCCTGAAAAGGACGGCTACCAGCACAGACGCACCAGATGCAGCCATGGTTGATGTGTCAGGCTATGGGGTTCTAAACCCCGAAGAAAATTTGTAAGGGCCGCCCACAGGCCCCAACTTGCGCACCTTCTACCCTCATATACATGTCAATAAACGTTGGTAGAAGCGGCGCAACCCACGACATTGCACTTTCCCGGGCTCACGAGCTAGGTGTAGATGTTGTACATATACAGGAACCTTCGTGGGATAGAAATATAAAGGATACTAGGTCGCACCCAGGATATAATAAACACATACCCCATGGAGGCGTGGATATCAGACCAAGAGCGGCAACATACACTCGAAAAAGCAAGGTAATAACTGCAACGCAGATATTTCCCTGCGCTACATTAACAGGGGACTACTGCTGGGTAGTGGTTAACGGAGTCACATTTCTAAATGTGTACAAAGCACCAAACAACCCAGTGTCTCTACGACCACTTGTGGACTGGACCCCATCGGCAAAGACTATTGCTGTAGGAGATTTCAACTCAGTTCACAAGGCATGGCAGCCGGGGGCAACTCGCCCACATGGGCAAGGGGAAGCGATAGAAGAATGGGCCGACAAACACAAACTTTCCTGCCTTATCATTGGAGAACCAACACACAGAGCAGGGAACACACTAGATCTTGCCTGGTCCAATATTGACGGAACTCTCGCGTGGGTAGACCGCAGCGAATGTATGACAAGCGATCATCTACCGATCAGAGGTCAAGTGCCAACTACATTCAAAGCTCTAGATACTGAGCCGCTCAAAATCAGGGTACGACCAGGCGACCTGCCGAATTTCGCTCGAGCTGTTGCCCAATGGGCCCATCCTCCACCGAAATTGGAAACAATAGACAAGGTGGAAAAATACGCTCAAGAACTATGCTCCCATCTATCCAATGCTATCAAGGCTACGGGCACTTTAGTTAAAAACGGACACGGAAAACACTCCCCATGGTGGACACCCAAATGCAAGGCAATCCATGCCGCATATCGAGCAGAAACTATACCCCAACGCCGGGCTACCCACGCGA